TTTGTATTTCAGATTGAATCGATGATACTCAATAGTGAAAGTAATTGTGTTATTTTGTTTTATTCAAATCAAACGAGAGAAGATCGACTTGTGAGAAGTTTTATCGAGTAAATTTTTTTGAATATATTTGATTAATTGAAATTTATTTCTCTCTTGATTTTCAAAGAGATCTGAAAATAAAATTAATCAATGAAAATTATTATGTTAAAGATGGAAATTGTACTTTAAATTCTCTGAATAAAACCAATCAAGTGATATTTATCTACACTGAAAATGAAAGTCAAGATTTTCATCATTTAGTTATTGAATATGTGGAAAATAAAACTCATCAAGTAAAACAAAAGATTGTTTTTTTTTTTATTGAAATTGAAATTGTTTATTTCTATTTAGATCAATACATTTCGTGATGTTTTCATTTTGTTTAATAATTCAATTGAAAGATTTTCCTGTCGTCTTCTTCAAACAATTCCTTTCATTAAATTGAATTTTTCTCCAGAAAAACTTCAATTAAACGAAGAAGAATTCGTCGAATTACTTTATTATTTAAAAAGTAAAACAAATCTTTTGTTCAGACGACAAAAAAAGTAACTATTTTCGTACAAATAGACATGAATATTCTCTCCAGGAGTTACACTGATGATTTTCAAGATATAAATCGTTCTTTAGATAAACAATCATTGGTAAATTTCGAATTGGTTTTTTAATTTCTAAAGTTTTTTCGTTTTAGCAATGTACAAGTGTTGGAGAAGGTTGTGCTGCAGCTTTTTATTTTAATTATCTCAAATTACTTTCATCTTTACCAGGTAAAATTTATAAAAAAGACACAATTTTTCAAATGAAATCATTGAATTTTAGGTCATCAATCCCGTGTTAAATCAATAAAAAACGATTTTGACGAAGAAATTGTTGATAAACATCGATGTAAATTTGTTTCCAGATGGGTTTTTGTCCTTCCTTGGGTTATTAAAGATACTTTAAAAATCTTTTCCAATGCAATGTCATTAAATGAAAACGAGAGAAACATAATTGGATTTGAATTTAAGATTTGGAAACAATCGTAATTTGAAAATGAAAATAAACAATCAATTTCGATTGTTTTCTTTTAGAAAATTAAATTTAACCGTAACTGTTGGTGGAATTTATCAAAGATCTTATTCTCCATTGACAATTTATCGATTAACCAAGTTAGATACAGGAGAAGTAAATCAATCATTGTTCGTTTGAAAAGATTATTATGTTGATTTTCATAGACATTTTATTTTCCAATGGAGATTCCTGCAGCTTTACATGGTTTGCAGAATCAATATGAAAATCTTCTTTCACATTTTCATTTTGGAACATTCGATCCTTGGGAACAAGCGATGAAATTTCAAGAAAAAGTCAAGGAATTTTTTGAGAATGATCTTGAAAAAATTTGGCAGGAAAACATTCGGATCGTTCCACTTGAAAAACCTCATAAAATTCGTGATTCTGATCATTTTCAATTAACAAGAATTTTATTAGGAACTTTATGGACAAAACTTTCTTCTCTTCTTTGAATTTGAAAGGAAAATTGGAATTTTAATCCAGATATTAATATAATCATTTTCGAGTGTTTTTGTGTTCAATCATAGAAATTATTATCAATTGATGTTTTTCATTAAAAATACTTTTATAGAATTTCGAGGAAAATTCATTAAGAATTTGTGCATTGAAATCTCCTAATACCGAGAGAAATTAATAATGAAGAATTGCGAAAATCTTTTGTGGATTTATTTGATTTGAAGGGTGTGGGTGAAGGTGCAATGGTATGATTTCTATATTCGTCGATCGTTTTGTTTATACAGGTGAAATTATTCAGGTAAGATAAAGAATATGAGAATGATGTTACATTTTTAGAGACAAATATTTGTTTGTCACGATATAATTTCTTTCACAAAGAATTGAATAATGTTTTGGAAGAATATTATTCAACATGAACTAAAAATATATGAAACTGAGACTAAGATAGATTTGTATATGTAGTTTTCGTAGCAAATATACTCATCTTGTTTTAGGTAAATTCTGATAAAGTTAACAAATCAATAATTTTATTGATTGAAAATGAAATGTGATGAATTATACAACTTCTTTTGAAATACATTCGAAGTGTTGGTTTGAATTTTGTTACAATTCTTATCTTTATCAGGATAAGATATTATGTTCATCATTTGTTTCTTTCAAATGAAAAACTTATGAAGATTTTCAAAAGATAATTTATCAAGTTTTCCACAAATAGAGAATTATTTTTGTACATAATAACTATAATATTCATATCTGAAGAGTGTAAAAACTTCAATAAACATCATTTAGAAAATATTCTGCAGTAAAATCATATATTGAAAATCGAATTGAATCAATTCAGTTAATTAATAAAAAGATACTCAATTTTTTTCATAGTAAAAGAAAATAATATGAGAAGAATTTGTTAAAAAGATAATTATACAGATGTTACGATCAAACTCATCTATGAAAATAATTTGTAGATCGAATCCAATTGATTTTTTAACATTATATCATTGTTAATGAATCAAAATTAATCAAAGTGAATCTAATGAACTCATAAATACTGTTTATCTCTTCTTATTTGATAATAAATTAAAAGATATCAATCATATCATAATAAAAGATAATATTTATTTATTTTTCATTGAAAATCTTTTTAAAAAAGATATGATTCAAAAGATTCAATTCGATGTTCTGTAATAATAAATAAATTGACTGAAATTATTCTATTTTCAATGAAATAATTTGAAATATATTTATTGGTTATGTCAAATAACATTCTTCATATAATAAAGTGATCAGGAAGTTCATATTACATTTGTCATTAATCATTGAATAATATCAACATTGATTTGTTCGTTGAATTTCATGTTCAATTCTCTTTGATTCCAAAAACTCGAAAATGTACTATTTAATTACAAATAAAATGTGTTTAAAGTACAAAAAAATACCGATGCACATAATATTTTTCTAGACGAATCATTTTTCATAAAATAGAAAATGCGTAATACGATCAACTATGTGACGAAATAAAGATTTATTTTGAAAATATTTCTTTATTTCGGTTAAGCGTACTTATAACTAGAAAGACGATTTAAAAAAAAAGAAGTTTATCCAGTCGCTGTCTGCGTGTTCTTCTAGATTGGTACATACTACCTTATTACAATTAACATGCTTTAAAATAAGTACATTCACCTTTTCTCCATGTTTTACGAAAAATTTTCCAATGACCTTTTGCATTGTTCTCTTGAAAAAAAAACGGTTCTTTCATTCACAACATCTTCATGTAGAATTTTGCCTTTGTTTTTTCAAATTTTAAATCAAGAACAATTGCAGGAATTCATTCATAAGAGTCATTTGTTAACATCTGACGAAAAAAAAAGTTCATTTTTTTTGCACTCCCAGTGTGGCCTATCACACCTGTATTTTCTCTTGTTTGCCCTTCTGTACCTTTAATCTGTCTGAATAGGCCTATATAAATACTCATCAATTGTGATACAAATGTTTGCAAAACGTTGTGTAAACAAAGGTGTGCATAAACACATAAACATTATTCATTCGATTAAACCAAATGGCAAATGATATTGCAAAACAATCCTCGGATTCCACGGACACAATGATTGAAATCAAATCAGATCAACAAGATGAATTTTCTGTTCCAAAATTATCCAGTGCGCAATTTGAAAAATTATTACATCATATTGGAGGTCCGTCTGTTCCACCTCCTGTTCCAACTGCACTTGGAAATCCTGGTCCACTTGGTCTTGGTGCATTTGCATTAACAACATTTATGCTCTCAGTCTTCAATGCTGGTTCAAATTTAATCGATCCGAAATTAGAAGCCGTGATTTTACCAGTTGCATTGTTTTATGGGGGTGCTGCACAATTTGCAGCAGGTATGTGGGAATTTCGTATTAATAATACATTTGGTGCAACTGCATTTACAAGTTATGGAGCATTTTGGATGTCATTTGCTGGTTATGTTTATGTTGTTGTTCCAACAATCGCTGCGACTGAACACGCAAAACAGGCAACAGGATTATTTTTATTAGCTTGGTTTATTTTTACACTTTATATGAATGTTGCTGCTTATCGAACATCAAGAATTTTGTTTATTCTATTTTCTGTGTTAAATATCACATTTCTACTGTTGATTATTGGAAATTTAACAAATACACCAGTTGTTGTTAATATTGGAGGATGGTTTGGTATTGTCACTGCATTTACAGCTTGGTATGGCTCAGCTTCTGTTGTTATTAATGTCACTTGGCGAAAATCAGTTTTACCTATTGGTGTTTATATTCCATCGCCTGTTAAAGACAGTCACGCATAGTTTTGACCCTGAAAATCTGTATATTTATTTGTTTTACTTCAATTTGTTTTCTTTATAGAAAATAAAACTAGGTTTATACAACTGATTGAAAAACAATTCGATCCATTGTTACAACATTGTTTCCTTATTGAACAAAAAAAAAGAAGATATTCTTCTAGAATGATATACATGTTCGAAAGAAACAAAAACAATTAAAAAAAAATGAAAATAAGTTGCTTTAAATATTTGATGGAGATTTTTCTACATCTATTCTTTGTACTCGTTCAACTGAAACACCCGATTCCACTCGATTCTTTTGTTGTTGTTGTTTTTTCTTCTGTTGTACAGTTGAATTGTTCAATACATTTGCATCCGTATGTTTCTGTTTATTATCGGTTTCTTTCTCGATAGAAACGTGTTCAATACGAACTGGATTTTTCGTTGCACTATTTGGCTTATCCGATAATGGTGATATCGAAAGATTCGTCATCCAAAAGTCGTTACTTTTCCTTGAATTGGTTTTTGGCGTTTCGCTTAGGACGTGAATGACACGTGTTGAACTTGCTGAGTCGACTTTTGGTTTATTTGAGACTGGAGAAATCGATGTTTTCGATGTGGAAGCACCGTGTAAATCCGAGTTTTGTCTCTCAGTTGGTAAACGATCAACTCGAACTACATTTCGTGACTGGTTTTCAGGTTTATTCGATGCAGAAGATACCGAAATAGTCGTCGGAGACATAGTTGGTGGTGCTATAATTGTACGAATAGCAGATGATGGAGAACTATGTGGTTCTTTCAACGATTGGTCTGCCAGGACACGTGTTATTATGACATTATCCTTCTTTGGATTTGCTGATGAATGAATTGGTTCGTTATTACTCGAATTATTCAATTTTTGATCGACCAAAGGGTCAGCTGATCGTTGCAGTAGGAGGTTATTAACATGCGTAATTCTTACCGTATCCACACTTTGAGGTTTTGAAGCTGTTCCTTCTTTTGGATCATTTGTCTTGGACATTTTCAAAGGTACTAATGATTTGACGCGAAATACTTTAACGCTTCCAGCACTTGTACAGTTTTCTGTGGGTAATTTTTCTTTCTCATTACTCGATGGACGAAGAGGTGATTTGATTATATGAATATTTCCACTTCCATTGCTTCGTTCATTGTATTTAACTTTTTGAACAGACACATTCGATATTGGTCGATCTTCGGTCATTGAAAGAAAACTATCAGCTCGAAAATCAACTAATTCTGTTTCATCTGCATCTTCAACTAAACAATCTTTCGTATTACTCAATGAACTTGATAATGTCGTTCTACTAATTGGACTTTCATTCAATATTCGATAACGATTATGTTTATCTCCCGAAAGTGTAAAAGCACTCGATGAGATGGAGATATTTGTCCAATAACAATTGGGATCAGTACATAGATCAATGTGATACAATTCATTGTTACCATCTTCTTTAAATCCATATAAACGATTGCCAAGGACACTAAAGGAAACGAATGACAGTGAATTTTGTCTTCTGTGCAATTTGATATGAACATACCAACAATAACGACAACAACAAAAGCAAATTACAGTCAAAGCAAAAAGACTCAGAACACCGATAATTGTTCCAATTAATGGCCAATTAATTGGATCCGCTGAAATAACAAAATATACTCAGATCGATAGTTCTTAAATGAAAAAACAACAACTAACGTTTTCGAGTTGTCGTTGTAGCTGTTGTGCTTGTTGTTGATGTGCTTGTTGATCTGTAGAAATATATGAAGATAAAGATTGGACACAGTTAGAATCCTACGTAGTGCTTGTTGTAGATGTTGTTGAAGTTGTTGATCTACAAAGAATATTTATTGACGATTAAAATGAGAAATAATGAAGAAAAGTTACGTAGTTGATGTTGTACTTGTTGTTGAACTAAAATATTTCAACGACTGGCTATGATCATAGACAGAAAAATAATGGATTTCTTACGTGCTGCTTGATGTGGATGATGTTGTTGATGTTGATCTATAAAAAAGATAAGAATGAATATACTAAAACATAAAGCTTATCGTCACAAACGTACGTTGTCGCTGAAGTCGTTGATGTGCTTCTAAAAAAGTATAAACACTCATTTTCTATCTATCAATAAAAAATAAAGTAGAAGAATACGTACGTCGACGATGTACTACTCGTACTACTGGATGTTGTGCTTGTTGAAGATGTCGAAGTACTACGAAATGATTATTTTCGAATTTATTCAACAAATACTTTTGTATTATTTACTAACGTGGTACTAGTCGTTGATGTTCTATAGATAAATTATAGAATATAAAATGAAGAAAAATAAATAAAGAAAATGAAGATATATGTAGTGGTTGTTGTTGTAGTATGA